AGCCAGCCCTGCAGTTGGAGGGGTAGGAGCTGAGGAGCAAGGAGGTGATAGGAAGCACAGAGCATTTGGGAATGGGATGTGGAGCACCAAGACCTGTGTTGGTTCCAATGAAAGCTTTATGTCAGGGCTGATTGAGACAGGGGCTGGGGGCAAAGCCAGCCCTGCAGTTGGAGGGGTAGGAGCTGAGGAGCAAGAAGGTGATAGGAAGCACAGAGCATTTGGGAATGGGATGTGGAGCACCAAGACCTGGGTTGGTTCCAATGAAAGCTTTATGTCAGGGCTGATTGAGACCTTAAACCTGCCGTTTTCCCGTTCACATCAGTGTGAAATCGGTGGCGTTGAGCTCAGGACGGTCGTTGTTCCAGTTCTGCGCCAGGCAAAGCTAGTGCTGGTTGGCTGCAGGGTTCAGTTTGCTCTGCAGTTTTAGGCTGAAGCTGCTGATGTTTCTGGTTTTGATGGTTCCTTTTTTCATTGAGTCATGTTTTTTGGTTCGGTCTACATTTAATTGTCAAGTTAATGCTTAAAGCCTTAACCATTGCCAGAGCTTCTGGAGGAATTCCTCTGCTGCATTGCTTTTTGGGGGACGTAGCAGGGGGCAGAGCAGGACCCTTTTGCTGTCGACTTGAGCACCTTTGTGTGTTTGTGAGGCACAGAGCCACTGGAAGGCAAGGGCAATCTTTCTTAGATTTTTTCCCCCAAAACCATAAGGATATTTATGGCATGGCTGGGAATTGTCTCTGCTCTCTTCAGATGTAATTTGTGTACAGGAAACTGGTATTTTTTGGAGTCATTTAAAACACTGCTATTATTTGTGAATCTGCTCTTTGTTTTTGGCCTTCATCTGGGACTTGTTGTAAACTATGCAGAGTTTGTTTAGTAGATTATCCCCAGTGCAGTTATCAACCTGTCTCTTAACAACGTGTGAAGCAAGCTAGGACATACACGAAACAAAAATCCTTGTGCCTACAGAAAGAGTTTTCTCCAATGTGGCACTTGGATTATAGTAGTTGTGTTTCTTACTGCAATAAATCAAGTATTGTTCTACATTTGTCAGAACAGAGATTGTGATTATATGTGCTGTAGTTAGCCTTGTTTGAAGTCTGAGTGTTTTTATGATTATTCTCCATGTTTCCAAGTATGTAATCTGAAGTTAGACAGTGAAAATTCTGCTTCTGAGTATAACTATAATCTGTGAAATTCAGCAAGATTCTGTGGGGTAGCTTTATGCAGCTGGGTGATATGTGTTGTTTTCCTTTTTCTCTCTTATCTGCTATTGGTCACTGTTGAAACAATATCAGGCAACAGAGACTCATGTAATGCAACCAGGCCGAAGCGCAGCAGAGTCTGTTGAATCCCCTTTGCGTGGCCTCGTGCCACGTGTGCTGATAGATGGAAACATTTAAGTTGTCTTCTGAGCGAGGCTCAGACCCGCAAGGCCGTGTCCGAGGAGGCTGCGCGTCCGGCGGGAAGCAGGACCCGCGGCAGCCGCCGGGGCGCTGCTGGAAACGTTACCGTGTCGTGTTGGAGCTCGCGTGGCCGCCCCAGAACAGCCTCAGAGAAGCCTCCCTTGCAGGTGAAGCGACCTTCCAGAGCAGTTCCCAGGCATCGTTTGCTCGCCAGCTTGGCAGGAGCAGAAATGGGGTGAAATCAGGCCAGTCTGGGCAATGCTGCATGAGGAGAGGTAACCGCGGGGCCAGGGCAGGCAGAAGCTCCAGGGAGCAAAGCAGCACGTCCCATTTCTCCCTTGCTTCCTTGGCAGCTGCGATGCCACCCTGCAGAGTGCATTAAAGGTGGTGGGAACTGCCATTGCCCCTTCACTGCTGCTCAGGTGGCCTTGCCTCCTGGGTATTAAAATGAGTTAGGTGGTCAGGAAAAGAAGGACGATGTCAGGGCTGGTGAAAGGGTGAGGAGGGAAAGCACTAAGAAGCAGAGCTAGTTGTGGTGCTGGGCAGCAGCTCGGGGTGCAGCACTTCGCCTGTTCTTCCGGTGTTGAGCCCAAGGCCCAAGGGATGGGAGGCAAACAGGCAGCAGCACTTAGGGAGAATGACTCACGACTTTGCTGGTAGCATTTAAAGGGAATAGGATCTACAAAAAAAAAGGGGAATTGGGCAAAAATAGGTAATAATAATAAAGTAGGAGGAAGCATGTTTTGGATAGTTTGGAAGATATAGCTTTTTAGCCACAATGCAGATTGTATCTTCAAAAGCAGTAAAATTGCCCACTCCTATGCTTGTTTTTGAGCCAATACTTGCAATTGTTTGAGTCATGTTTGTCACGGAGCTGGCAATTGCACAAATGAAGTGATGGCTCTCTGCTGTGTTTGGACAATCCCTGTAACCTAGGTATCAATAATTTGATTTTGTGGTGCAGGCAAAGTGCTGGTGAGACCTTCTGCACAGCTCCCGTAAGCACTTTGCTGGCCCACAGGCATTTTTCAGTTCTGTCCACAAAAATGCAGTGCAAAAACTAATAAGCTTGTGTGTGTGTTGGAGCGGGGTGTAAGATCTTGGCAAAGAGATATTCCAATTTCAAGCCTGAGAGGATGGAAGAGCAGTGGCTTTTCAAAATAAATAAATAAATAAATAAAAATAAAGCTTTGTGTTTACCAGGGTTTAGGAAGAACAAAAGAGAGGGGAAAAATCAAAGGCCTCCGGGTGGGTGCTGCAAGTAGGGTTAATTGTTCTTTCTATCAACATGCAACATAAAAATGTATCGTTAGGGGGAGTTGACATTTTCCTTTGTCTGAAATGTGGACTTCTCACTTCCAGTCGAGATATTCAATGTGCGCTGCTTTTTTGGGAAAATGAAATTGTTTACCCAGGGGAGAGACAGCTGCAGAACACGTCAAGATCTCCTCATTATAAGCAGTTAAAATGGTCTTTCTGCTTTGTGATTAAAAATCAGAAAGCTTGGGGTGGGCACTGCTGCTTTTCTAGGGTATCTGCAATAGGTGTTTTTATTTTCCCTGACACTGTTCATTTGAATCCTTAATCCATGGGTTTTCCAGGTAACGACATCTAGTACAGAAGGAAGATTGTGCAACCTGTGCATGTAAAGCATTTTCTTCTTTCCATATGTTATATGCTCTCACCAAGTGTTCTTCCTCTGAGTTCTGAACTTGCAAACTGTTGTTGTCAGCTCTCGATGCTCTTTGACTGTTTTTTTTCCCCTTTCAGGTGTTTTAGGGAATCGGAACCATGACGGACTCCAAATATTTTACGACCAATAAAAAAGGTTAGTGGTAAATTAATGCAGTGGATTGGAGGCTCCTGGGGGTGGTGGTGACTATTTTTACACAGCTTTTTTTAACTGCCTGCAGAAGAATTTGTAATTTTCTGTTAGTTCTGTCCCTATTTCTCCTCTTAATCATCTAGGGAGAAACTTCAAAAGTAGGTCACGTGGTGACAGAAGACAAAACTGATGCATTGTACAGCTTTGTATTGCGCAAATGACCCAAATTGCTCTTTTTTGTTTCCTTTTCTTTTTTTTTTTCTTTTTTTTTTTTTTTAAGATTTAGGTTATTTAGAAAGGTATAGTTCACCTCATTCTCAGAGTATCACAGCTTTAATTCTTGAACCATGTTCTGCATAAAGTATCACAGCTTCTACATATTAGTGTAGCAAGGTTATGGGAGCAAGAGCCTGAAAAAGGAAAGAAAAAAGAAAAACACATCCCTGGGAGTTTATCAGGATTTTTTTGCAAATGGTTGGGCAGGTTAACTTTGCAGACTGCTTCATCTTCCTTGTTTGAGAACTTGGTTTTTCAGCCTAAACCTTGCAAAACACTAAGTGAATTTAGTTTTCTAATTTTGCAAGGGAAATAGTTCTGTCATCATGTAGCCAGTGTAGGATGCTACAATAACCTTAGGCACATGGGGATGTGTATATAGGGTGG